TGTCATCCTTGCGCAGGGGCCATGCTAATCTTCTCTATATCATTCCAATTTTAACGGATGTCCCGAAGGACAATTTTTTAATTATTATTATTTTTTTTCACTTTTAACTTTTTGTTTTCACTTTATTTCGGGGCCTAAAAAAATTTATTATTTTTTGAAAACTTTTTAATGAGTTATTGATTATGTAAACTACATATCTGTAAATTTTCAGGGCATTTGTCAGTGCCAAAACATAATTAAAAATCGGCAAAGATGTCGAAAAGGTGCTGGCACACTCACTCATTTTAATTCTCTTTTTATTTTTTCTTGTTTTTATCATAGTGTTTATTTTCTGTATTTGATTTTTAATTCAAATTTGGTAAGGAATTTGGATGTAGTGCCCATGGCAATTGTTGTTTAGTTTATTTTTCTCCATAACATAGTCTTTTTTCGGAATTTTTTGAAAACTTTGTTTTTTTTTTTCTGTTTTTTTTTTGGTCCGCGTTCGGCCCGAACGGCCGAAGGCCTTCCGAAGGGGTCCCGTACGTCCGTGCGTTCGGCCCGTCCTGAACGCCGGCAACCCTGATAATAATAATATAAAAAATCTTTTTTTTTGGGTCCAGAACCCCTAATAACCTCACCAACACCCCCATAGCGGCCCCCACTACCCCCATACACCCCCCCCAACACCCCCAAACCGCCCCCAACATCCTCATTACCCCCCCCATACCCCCTATACCACCCCTACATCCCCGTATACCCCCCTTCACACCCCCTCCCCCCCTTCCCCCCAATCCCCAAAAGTTTCGCAGCGGATGTGGGCTGTACTCAGCAAGCGCAGTACTGCCCCCAACTTAGATTTGAAAAACAATTGGTGGATGGTTGTGTTTCTGACTGGTCGGCAGACCGCCGACCGGTCGGGCCCTACTGGCCGGCTGCAATACAGTCGGCGGCCGGGGTCAGTGGTCGGCACGTATGCAACCCTGGTTGACTCCAGCTCCACCCTCCAGCATCATTTCCCTGTATGCTCATCATCTTTTCTTGTACTTCAGGTGTTCCTCTATATTTCTTCTGAGAGTTCTCTAAACTGGTTTTCAATCCCCTCAGGGCTGGTCTAGCTTCACAGGACACTTCGCCCGGACAACTAGAAGATCCTGTTCGTGTACCAACTTGCACTGTAGTCTTGGGCAATCTTATTTATCAAGATGGGGACGCAAGAACCTTGACAGCGCTTTTGGAATATGCTATTTTTCACTTCCCTTGCACGGGATTGTGACGAATCCCATGCCCTAAACATGAAATGCGGCCATGTGCGTCTTTGCACCTAGGCCACCAGCCGGGCCGCCTGGGTCACCCTGTTTTCCTGGGCGGCCCGGCCGTGCAAGGACCAGGGAAGGTCCAAGCAAACAAAACAAAAAAACAAACAAAAAAAAACGTTAAAAAAAAACCCAAAATCCGAAAAAAAAATGTTACTGCGAGGATCAGTGTCCTCGGTAGGCCTACGGGGCCCTGTCTGCAGCCTTACCCGCCCTAAGTGAAGGCGGAGGTGCCCGCCCTAAGTGAAGGCGGGCCTGGCTTTTTGCAAGAGGCCCTCGACTGTCAATTTCATATTTGGGGTCCAGGCAGTTGCGACGCGCCAGTTGGTTGAAAGAAACACAGGCCGAGTACCGGAGACATTTCCACGGCCTACCGGGCCTTTCCAAAGAATGCAGGCCCTGGGCGTGATTCGCAGCCTCATACAGAGACAGTTGGGCGCCCAACCGAA